AACAGGGACCGAAAATAATAGTTATTTTCAAAATTCCTATTCAAAAAGTCAGTCGGAAAGAATTGGTTTATTTAACATTTGTATATAGCAATGTGATGCTTGTTAGCCAAGGAATGTTAATCCTATATGATTTAGTTTTTTTTCACTTTTTTCAAAAAAGTTAGCAATTAACCGTTATCTTTGACTGTTATTTTTTCAGTCAAAAGTAAAAGTTAAAACTTGACTTATATTTTTTCGGTCAAATATGAAAGTTAAATCTTGACTTTTATTTTTTTGGTCAATCATAAAAGTTAAATCTGTCTTTTATGGTTTCGGTCAAAATAGCAATTTACATATTCAAAATACAATATGTTTTAATAAAAAATGCACATCCTTTCAATTGCAGTTTTCTATCTTCTGTAAATTTATTGATTTTCTTTAATTTAAGCTTTAAGTTATTCACCTCTTTACAGGAATAATTCGGAATTCAATTTAACAATTAATATAGCTGCCAAGTTCTGCTCCGACAAATTGTATCACAAATCGCTAAGAATAAGCTTAGTACTGAGAACGCGTGTTCTACACTGACCTTTGTCGCTGGCATTTGATGCCAGATACATGCCAGATCTCTTAGTCGGAAATATATATATTTTTTTTGCTCTCCCAATAATCCATAGGGTCCATATCAACATCAATGCGCTTCTCCTTATAGGTGCCTATTTCCATAAATGATTTTCGAACGTAATCTTCGGAAAAAGTAAAAGTGAAGTTTAAACTTTTATTTTTGACCGAAAAAATAAAAGTCGATTTGTAACTTTTATTTTTGACTGAAAATATATCGGTGAAAAAACAACGATTATTTTTTTGAAAAAAAAGCATAACCGTTACGGTCCCTGAAATAAAATCAAGAATAATTTTCATATAAAATCATTAAGGAAACTCTATGGCATTTTCTTGGTTTTACGCCTGTTTTTACTACAGAGACAATCTTTTCATTTATATTTGTCGGTCATATTTTTCTCTGTGTAACTGCAAACACATATGAACGACTATACTTCATTGCACTGCCCATTGCAATCACCTAAACGTAATCTTAATTTACCTATCTTAGCAAAGACATTCGCTTTTGAAGGGCTAACTGTACGAGGACTTCAAAATGCGTACTTACTAGGGATGCCAAAATATCAGGAAAATTGGGATCCCGGAATTTCCGGATATTTTTTAGGTAATCCCGCGGGATAAATCCCGCGATCCAAATTGAGTCATCAATTTTATGAATATGAGTAAAAATTCAATATCTGAAAGCATTTAAGCATACCATTAAATAAAACTATTTAAAATTTACGATAAACTGATTGTAAAACTCATATATCGCTAGCTTAGAGTGAAAAGTTGCTAACTTCACTTTTAATGAAAAATCATATTTTGATATAGAAGGCTAGATAATTTATGTTTTTTCGTTTATATTCAATGAATGGGAAATTTGCTAAGGCCAAAAAAAGCTCCGAAAATTCGATGAGGCCAAAAAAGTTCGAAATCTTTTGATAAATATCGAATCCCTCCGATTCGTATGGAGTTTTGCTTTGCTTTAAACAGGCAAATTGTTGTATTCAAAGTTTTGCGAAGTACTTGAAGAAAATGGCTATACGAAGTTTTTTCCTCTCCTGTACAATTTTTAAATTGGGACTTAGGAACTTTGCACTCTACGCTACCGATATTTATTTATGCAATCAGACAAATTTTAAAGTAAAACATTTTTTTAATTGTATTTAAAAAACCATGTGATTGAGGAACGTATACGTCACAAATAATAATGTAAATACCAGGTACTTTTGAAAGTGACGATTAATAAAAAAAACATAAAACAAAAATATACAAAAACAATTTCTCTAAACATGTTTATTCTACTCTATAAAGAAATGGCGAATGGAGAATTTTTTGCCATTTTTTTCGCAATTTACTAGAAATTTTGAGGGTGTACGAGTCAAACGGATCTCAGAATCGGATCGAAATACATGTTGGTAGTTGGGTCTGGTTAAAAACACACACCCCTTTTTTGCCGGTGTTGTGATTATTGCACTTAAAATGTTTTCGTAAGAGCAGCAAAGCATTCAAAGCAGAGTCTTCTAAGCTTGACCTGCAGTTTTTACATACAAAAGCTTCTGATGAAAAACATATTTCGGCATCAACACTTTTAGGCTGAACTGTCAAAAGGTAGACATAATCCATTTGAAGATAATGACCCCTATCTCCTCCATTACAAAATATTTGAACTTCTTTTACCAGCACGTCGGTCAAATTATAGGTTTTCGATTTGAGGAAGTTTTGAGTAGATTGATCTAAAAAATTGTCTAACTTTTCCTTAAAACTCTCTGTTTCGTTTACATTAGCGACGCTATGAGTAAATTCATTGAAATCTTCTTCAAAAAAGGCTCAGACTGCAATTTAAAAACACAGTTTCAAGATTTTTGTTAATTGCAGTCAAAACGGCATTTTACAAAAATCATACTTCAAAATTCATAAACAAATTCTTACTATCAATTCGATATTTAAAAAAATTCGGGATCCCGGAATTTCCGGGACGTCAAAAACACCGGGATCCCCGGGTTTGGCATCCATAGTACTTAATGAAACAACTCAGGTTTATCTTTCTGGAAGTTTGTATTAAATGTATGGTTTGCGTGGCTTTATTCCGATTTACGTCAATTTACATTTTAACCTACCTTGAGTGTAGGCTACCCTGTTTCGTTGAGATTTCGAATATGTTTTTTTTTACATAGCACTATGGTCCCAATTCCGTTTTTTTTGGCATAAAGTCAAGAAACTTGTTGATAGATTTTTACAAAAAAAAGTACGTATTCTTAACAGAAACGCGTCAGGGAACTCATATTAAAAAATTTAAAAGTGTTGGGGGCAAGACTGTACCTAATATAAGCTGTCAAAGTGGACGTATTGAAATTGTTTCTTTTAACAATAACTGTTGTGTGGAAAATCTGTAAACAAAAACAAGTGTAAATTTAAAGCGTTGTGAATTAGTAAAAAAAAATAAAATGCAAAACTTTAGCCAAGGTATCTAAATTATGACTTAATTAAAAAAAATGTGAACAGTGATGTAGTACTTGGGGAATATAGCATTTTGTGTGAACGTATATTCTGTGTAAAAATTGAAAACTTTTCGGTGTTTGGTAGGAAAAAAATAATGTGGATTGTTCCGGATTGCTCTTAAATTCAATATGAAGTGAAAGCTAATTATATATATTTCATTTTAGTTTGCGTCATTTTTGCCCATTTTTGCTCAAATTAAAAATATTTCATATTTTTTAGAAACATTCGTATTTCAACACGAGGAATTGCTCAACATTTGGGAAGAATGCGGCCGCAAAAGCGACGTTGTTTTCGAATGGGTGATTAAAAAG